ACAACTACAGGTTGTGCTGCAAATCATCATGGTTACCTCGAATTGTCCACAAGCTCGGCCAAGGCTCCAAATAAGAACTCGTGGGTTGTCCTGAAAACAGATCACTCATTTCATTAATTTCAATACACTTGATTAATAAAAAGGGATTTAACTTGAGTTAACTGGGCAAGGTGGTCACAGGAAGAGGGTGTATAAGAGATACTTGTTGTCAGGAGCTGATCTCCAATATTCTGTGTGGAGTTATTCAGTCATACAACCTGTATTTCTGCCAATTGGTCTGTCTGGGCCCTTATTCATATAATACCTAGAGCCTCTCCTCTATTACAACTTACTGACCACAAGTTTTGACAAAACAACAACAAAAACTGGTTATACTTGTATTCAAAACAAATGTAAGGTAAGGCAAATGCTTAATAGAAGCACTGATTGTTTTAGTCCTGCTCGTGTGGTTAAACCCTCCTGGACCTGTGTATAATCCCTTAGCAGTGGATTTGGAAATAAGCACAGGCTCATTTCATATCATCTGTGTCTCTAAATGTGTTCACTGGTGCACCACCACTACATATTCAAACAAAGACCACGTTGTTCAGGCAGGCTACATCACAAGAAAATGTTTAGGCCTACTTGTAGCAATATGACAGATATAGGAGAAGAACGTCATCGTCACTTCTGCAGTGCATAATTATGCAACTGCTTGTTAAATCCATGCCAGTGTTGTGAACACCATGGTTGACTTGTGTAAAGTGTGACAATGTTCTTTTTTTAGAGTTATTCAATGAATTCAGAGTCAGACAAGTTTCAAATTGGCACAAATATATCAATGACACACACATGCCTGTTAATTAAAAGCCATAACGCAAAATTTTGTTCACTCTGACATGAACTACAATGGCGTGCAGAATTACTACACAAACAGGTTTTGATTAAGCAACCATTTAATTTATTTAAGCATTCAAATCGCTGGAATTTCTTAAAACTAATGGTCACCATTTGATCACTGTACTATTTGTCTTAAACAGTGATCTGGTGTCAAACTGTCACAAATTATAAAAAGCAATGTTTTTCTCATGTCTAAAATGTCTGTGGGATCACTTGAGGCTGAAGTGTGTAAGAGTGTTACTTTCTTTATTTTCAGTATGGCGGTTACAAGCTATAGCGGGTATGTGTTTTTTCAGTTTGGCTTCATTGTAGCACGGCTGTAACTATAAATAATTGTGGTTTAGCGCAGAGCTGCAGTTTCATTGACAGTAGCTGTAAAAAGAACCTTGATGAGGAATTGTTTTTTGTGTTATCTATGAAGTCGAACATTAAATAGCAGAACTAGAAAATTACAAGTTTAGCTCAGACAACATGAGGTCTGAATGAGACAACGGTCAAGATGCCGTCCAAGTAGAGGTCCCAAGAGAAGATAAGACTGGAGGGGATCATACAGTTACCTCAACTGCTTTGACCTTGTTGCTATAAACGTATGTAGTGTACTGTAAGTAGTGTTCCCAGCCAGATTTCCAACCCGGGAGATCTCACAAGTTACGCTGGCGGATGATCAGAAAGAGTTTGACCAGCTTCAGCTTCAGACTCCAACAAAAACATCCATCCACGCTCGACCGCAAAACAGTGGAGCGCGTGTAATGTCCACAAACAGGTGATCAGGATTTGTTATTACTGAATAATTTAGTAGGTGTAAGTCTATGAGAAATTAGAGTAGGTCATGTGTAAGTCACTACAATATAAGTATGGATTATAGCAGGCAACGCTGTAATACTAATTAACAAATTTCATTTAAACTATGGTTTTTTTTTGTTAATATGTTCTAAAAAAGTTACAAGGAGGCTCTAAGATTTGAATATGGCTTAATCTGTGTTACACAACCATGCATTTAAGGGTTAAATCTGCAGAAGCAATTGTTGTAAGTAAAAAAAAAAACTACATATTTTCCATTCGACAAATAAAAGACACTTTGTGCAGCTAACAGATGTTACAAGTATCGCACAACATAACATTAAATGGTCCGTGGAGACTTTAGACGCTATTTTTGATGGAGGGCAAATTATTAAATGTAAACTGAATGAAATGAGAGCATATTCTTGTGTTCTTTGATATAATCTAATCAGGTTCAACAGGAGCAAACCTGATCATCTGGCCAAATAAGCTTTTAGGTTGGGTTCTTTATAGTGTTATGGTGCATCTGTACAAACATTAATGATGGGGTGTTGATCTATGGACCTTGCAAAGACTACTTCCACAGATGAGCTGGTCTACTGTGTCTAGTTTGTAGCATTTAATGCAAGTTTTTTCTTCTAAATATGTGTAGTATCGACTTCATTAACACTTGAATTGCCAGAAAACCGGTACTCACGAGTTTGTGTGCAGGTATTCAAAGGTAAGCTGAGCCCTGCTCAGGTTGCTGTAGTTGGAGTAGGCCATGACCAGACACAATGATTTCCTGTTTCCTTTCTGGTCTGCTGTTTGTCTTCGTCCAGACGAACCGAGATCTAGTGAAGAGCTTTCATTCTACAAGAGGGGGGGAGAAAAAAGCCATCACAGGTCTTGTATATGAACCTACGAAGTGCCTAAACACATACTTCACATCAACTGACCAGGGACGTGAGCTGACAACAACTGATGTGGACACTTTACAACAAGTCAGAAGGGACAAGTTAACACCCACGACCCCATTGAAAAGCCTCCACCTCCCCATATGAAGGGGAACCACGTGGGAGGCCTGTTTAGGGACAACATTTTAATTGTTACGAGCAGAAGTGCGCCTCTAGGCAAGCCATTAGCGATGAAGACATTAACACACCAACATGTATGCGACTGCTACTAACGTTTAACCACAGCTAGCGGACATTAGCTCCTCTCCTGCAGGTTGTTTATGATGTAGCGTTAATGGCGGCTAGCGTCACTTAGCATCACACTGTGGAAACATGTAACGTCAGTCACACCAAGTACATTTTCACCGACTTTGCAGCCCGTTTCATGTGACGGCGGCCTTGCTGTGTCTTAACGCTATTGTAATAATCCCTCCGAGCAGGTACAATCACTTTGTAAGCGTTACGTTTTGTCCTTTTTTTCCCCCCCTGACATGAAACAAATCCGCCAGGCCGCGAAGGATCCAACCCGCTCCGACGCTGGTTACTGGGTTTCCCTCTGCTCGGCGGAGAGCCCGCCTCTATTTTCAGCGCTCAGCCAATAGGAGAGCAGCATGTAAAAGATTCTCAACGGTGATTGGAGGAGACGATCCAACGTAAGCGAGGTGTAACATACCTTGCGATACAGAAAAGGCAGGTCACCTCTTTTGGTGTTTGCTTACACGCCAGGACATTTTGGCAAAACTTCAGCAGATTCATCATTGAGAATGTGGTGTTTTGCTTTTATAGAAGTCAAAGTAAATAAAATTCATTATAAATGTATTAATTCTGTTGGCAAAATTCAGATTCAGATCAAGTTTCAAGATGTTTATTGTCATATGCAACAGAAGAAGGAAAGAAGTTTCCTCTGTGCAATGAAATTCTT